TCTTTGATTTTCAAGCCTCTTGCATTTTTGTCGCTGTGGGGAAAGCATCAAAATGTATTCCTGGAACATTTCCATTTTTGTTTTTTGCTAGCTCTAAGAAAATAATTGTAGCAACAAAAATGCTCCTATAAAAATAATTTGAAAATTGCCATAATTTCATTGGTGTGGTATTACTGGTATCTGTTAATTCCCCAAATGGAAATTTCTGCTGTAAATGTGAAGTGCTTTTCACTAGATCCAGTACAATAATCCTCCATCCTACATCCACTATGTATTCTAAGACTGGACCACAGCGATGCAGAGATGCCTTTGTATCCTACATCCACTATGTATGCTAAGATTAGACCACAAGCAACGCAGAGATGCCTTTGTTTTCACATTGGTATTTCTCCTTGAGTAACATGGCCTTTCAGTCCTTAATCATGAAAGCCACTTACAATGCCTTTATAGCTTGTAATACTTGTTAGAAAAATCTTGAAGTTGTTTAATAGCAGCAGACTTTCTATACAGGAAGCACATAGTAAAGCATGTCGACTGCCTCTGGTCTTCAGTTCACTGCTCTTTATTCCTATCGCCTCCCAAGGTTGGGTCCTCCTTTTTGCCCCTGGTTTCTTAATTTTTTACTTTTAATTTTGAACATTTGCCTACACACACCTCCCACATGCCACTCTATGCATGTATCATCCCTGTTCGTTCTCTCTACCTCCACAATGGTCCAGATTTTCTGAAAACAAAACAACAACAGCAAAAAACCCTGTGGTCCCAGTGTGATCCTTTTCAAAAATGGGGACATTTTGTTAAGAAGAGGGAACACAAATTGTCCAGAAGCAAAGGAAATCAGGCAATTGAAAATGCCCAGAAAGGGATGAATAAGGGAAGACCAGTGTCTTCAATGAATTACTATAGATAGAATTCTGTGTACACACACAAACACACACACACACACACACACACACACACACACACACACACACACACACACACACACGGAGAGATACAGACAGACAGATGTGGAGAGACAGACAGAAACATAGGGAGACAGACACAGATAGAAAGACACAGAGAGACAGAGGCAGGGAGGCAAAACTAGGCCAGAATCTTACTAGAAAGCCTGCCTGGGTTGGTCAGCACAGAGGGTTGAAGCCAATGGCTCCTCAGACACGGAGAGAAACAAGTGTATTTTATGGCTACCAGCTATGCATTCACACATGCCATTTCTGCTATGCAGGGTGCTACGAGGGGCCGCTATCTTGTCATAATACATGTTCATTGTTCCTCTAAGTAAAATATGTGTTTCCTGCTAGTTATTCGGTGCAGAATTGTACTTTAAAGGCAAGAGGACATTTTTGATAATGCACATCTTAAGACTTTTCATTAAAGTATCAAATTTAAATTCTACCTCTTTGTGCACTCTGACATTTTTTGTCTGGCATTTTCATTAATTTTGCGACATACATAAATGTAGCTGAAATGTTAACTGATCAATACTTTGTCTCTCTCATGTAGCACTAGGGTTTCATTCCCCAAGGACCACACAGCAGAACAGAAATTAAATGTGTAAAATATCAAATGTTAATGTTAAACACAGCAGCACTTACTGTATAACGACAGAAAAGGCTAAAACAATTCCAAATGGACAGATGGTACCACAAATTATCTACAATCACATTCAAAGATTAAAGTTTGTCCTGTAAAATAATTCTCTGACGCACACTGAAGTGTGTCCTTTTGCTGATAGCTCAGTTTTCCAATTATTTTTGTGCTCATTACAGTGAGAAATGACAGTGTTGGAAAGAAAGAACGTGTGCTTGCTCATTCCCCTTTCCTTTTTCATTTTGCACCCACTGACTTCTACAAGAACACAAATGTCTGGTCAAGAGCCTGATGAAAATTAGTCCAATTTGTAAGGTATTTCCAGGTCTACAGTAGCTGATTCCTGGGGACAAGCAGTACCTTCTACACCACACACAACAGAGCTCCCTAGAAAAACAATATTCATCAGAAAACTTAAAATCCTAACTCCTAGCAGTCGGTAACAAGGATCTTCCAGAGGCCTGCTTGCTCTGCTTTGCCCTTCCCCACCGATTTCGCCTCTGCTGCCTGCAGCCCAGGTAGTGCTGGGAGGCAGTGGCTGCTGTCCGCATTTGCTCGTTCATTGACACTGAGATACAAAATAGGGTTGTTCTCTCCCATTTCAACCTCACGGGTTTGCATTCAGTTTTCAGAGTATTGAATCAGTAGAGAAAACCAAAATGTAATAGAAAAAAATTCACATTCATTTAAATATTAAAAAGCATACTGATCTAGGCCTAAAACTAAGCCACATAATGGTACAGATGCATGTCCTCCATGCAGCAGCTGCAGTTAGGAACACATGGGCCAAATGGAACCAATATTATAATAATAGACCCATGATCTGTCAAGAGGGCATGATGGGAACAATATGTCCATAACAATGGGCACTGCTTATGTTCATCTAATGGAAATCAGTTCTTTTCACCAAATTTCCCTACTATGGCTCTGAGTCTACAATGGCAACTCGGGACCATTTCATTTTTAAATACCTCATTTACTCTCTATAAGATGACTAAAATCTTTTACAAAGTTTTTTTCTGAATTATATTACAATTATAAGGCTTCTATAGAAAAGAATATCTACTGTGTAGCCTCAGTTTCTTTATCTATATACTAGGAAAATAATAAAATATACATCATGAAGTTGTTGAAAATATTAAATTCTTAGTGCAAGTGCCATTTTCATGTATTTATATATGAACAATAGCTCCTTGGCACATAGGGAGCACCTGACAAAATAAATTCTTGTTTGTATGAATCTTTTTATATCAGAATTCAATCCATGATTAAGTAGATTATTGATAAGAGATTATAACATAATTTTGGGTTCATATAGAAATTATAGGAAAAATTGCTTTATGCTATTAACATATTCTTATCATGATGTAATAACCAGGTTTATTATAGCAGACTCTTATTTACTTGGAGTTTCTCCATATAAGAAAAATTTTCAGATTGGCAGCCTCAAAAGACTTAGTTGGAATTTATGCTGGAAGCTAACTAACTGCTAGGTACTCTTCAAGTGATGGGAGAAGGGCATGAGGAAAGCAGTTCACATCCCCACGGACTCCCACTTGGAGTCTAAGCAGAGGACGCTTGTGATTCATTACTTCAATCACATTCAATAAAGTGCAATTATTTTTCTTTTTCCAACAAAATAGTTAACAGTTTCTGCACATTTTGTCATGCGCTTTCCTGTTCTGTCATTTTTCTGCCCTGTTTCCTACCTTCATTTTCCCACGTTCCTCTCTGGGCAAACCCCTTGCGTTCTGCTTGTGATTCCTAGGACTGAGTCTGTTATAAACTGGCCACTGGCTGCGGTGGATGCTGCATCTCCTGCAGTGCATGGCCCCCTTCAAATGATAGCCCTGTAAGGAGGTCACATGCAGGTGTCTCTGTTCCTCAGCGTTTCAGTGGCTTCTTTCCTTTTTTAAGAAGCAAAAGGAGATTGTGAAGAGGGGCTGCCATCTTGAATTAATTTTACAAATAACCTTAGGGAGCTGGAAGTGGTTTATGAAGACTCACGCAACATGCTGTAACACCACACAACCCACAATCAATGTTCCTGAATAAATGATAGAACTATATACATTTTTATGTTTTCAAATTTCACAAGCAGCTGTGGAGTTGGCTTTAAAGAAAGTCAGTCAGAAATGGCAGCAGACATTTCCAGTAGGGTTTTATTGTCATTATGTGACCCCAGAGAACCTGGAAGTAATGATATAAAGTATATGTAGAAATTATGAATCATTTTGCTCACTATCATAATATCTCTATGCTAATGAAAAATCAGAATACCCCAATGTATCTGTTATGTGAGAGGTATTAGAAGAGTATAGAGAGGAGAATTTATTTTTTTAAACAATGATGGTGGCAGTCACCATCTTTAAGGAGACAACAACATGTCTATGGGAAGCAGGCTGCTAACTTTCTCTAAGTTACAACACAAAGGGGCAGACACAGTCTTTGTTCATGTGCTTGGACATTAGTAAAAGTCCCACACGGGCCTGTGGGGAGGACAGCGCTTCAAGAACTAAAAGCAGACATTCATTTGAATGGTAACACTAAAAGTGATTGTTACTCTAATTAAGGCCTTTCTGTAAGCCCTCACAATAATGTCATATTTTGCAAAACTGGCAACTTCAAGGAAGCATAAGGTGCTTATTTCCTAAAAAACACAAAATAAAATAAAGACTTTCAAAAGACGGACTCCACAGACACTTCAAGTAAAACATCGAACCAGCAGAAATAGCATAAGCGTAGAGCATCCTGGCTCAGTCCAGAGGAAGTCCTTTCTAGATTTTCTGCCACTGCCAGCTGGTCTCCACATCAGTTCTTAAATAATCAGTATAAAGGGTACAGGATGAGCCTGGTGAGGAGAATATTTGGGTCGATCACATTCTTACTTGTGACTTTTTAAAAACTGGAAACCACAGAAACATCTCTTAAATAGGTCACATTCCTTTCTGCTTGCTTCATGTATTAAAGCCTTACCAACCAGCGTCTGCGGTCAGTGATGCTCCTATTCTGACAAAATACTTACAAACTAAGTAAAAGCAAAGTGCAATGGCCAAGGCTATTACCATTGTCATTTTTTTTTTCCCACAGAGATTTTTTTTTTTTGGATCTCCTATTGGGATCTGGAATTGTACAATATGCAAAAATTTTACTTTTTAAGTGTCAGAGAAAATTATACTTTGGCTAAGATGTCTTGCGTTCCGGAAATCTGAGGAATATATTCTTGGATTCAGACCCTGAACAATCCATCAGGTTCCTGCCCACAGCAAATCTGTCCAGTCAAGTCTCAAAATAGGAGTTTTAAAATGGCTCTATCAACATAGCTGTTACTATAGCCACAGAGACTTGGAGTTAAGATTGCTGAATCTGATGAATAACAATGGACGAGTAATACAGTGTGATCATACCACAAAAGCTGCAAGACTCCTTGGGGGTGAATCCCAATCAAAGCAGCTATTAACGTAGTATGCAGCGTTTACCAGCACCATGACGCAACGCTTCGTTCTGACGAAGTTTCTCAGAAGCAGCTGTAAGGAAAATGAAAACAGTGTTAGAATTTATAAGCCTGAAAACAATCAAATCTACTGTATGATTCTTCAAGGTGGTGGTGACTTAGAAAGGACCCAGAAAGGCAATACGGTTACAAAAACTCACCAAGTGATTTGGCTTCCTAGGAAAAGGAAAGGAAGCATTCGGGGAAAGACTGGAAAGAACTAGGTGGGATGAACAATTTTTTTTAGCTCAATGTATATTTTAAAATAATGTTTTCATGTAAGCTTGTATGTTTGTTCATAAGAAAAACATCTGCTTACAAAACGTGGATCCCTATTAATTTTGAACTCCCTTCTTTTTAAGATGAGTTAAATGTTTTAATTTCAAGATGCTTCAAAGTGAACTGCATACCTTGGAATGTTTTGATTTATAGTCCTGCAGAGAGCCTGTCTAAAGTAGCTTATTACAGAAGCACTATGATTTCAAGTACTTTTCCACTTAGTAGGACTGCTCCTCTCTCATAATCATCCCTTAATACACATTAAATCCACTCTCTGTTTTCTCATTATTTTCCTATGATTCAAGAGTTAGGAGACTTTGATAGTAACCAAGTATGTTGTGAAATCTCTTATTAGAAACAGTATTTATTAAACTGATGCAATTTCAATTGAAATCGAAAAACTATAGCAGGACTTCAACAGTAAAAAGGATGTCCACGAACTAGATAATGGTTTAAAAAGTCACACACAGAAATGGATAACTAAAGCAATCATATGTCTACAGGTCAATATGTTACCATTCTAAGTATATTTCAGTATTAATCTGGTATTTTAAAGAAACATGTAAAACTGACTGAGTTCAGATGACAAAGTACATGTGTAAAATATATGCATGCATGTGCAAGGCAGTTATAACACATTTTAAAGCTAGAATTTTGTTCAGCCAGAGAGTCTCCCTGCATATTCCCCTTCTTGATTCCTAGCACTTTTTTTTAAAGAACAAATTTTATTATTCTTATCTATAATTACAGAGAAATATAATATGGTTTTCTACTTAGATAAGTATTTCATTTGTAATGCACATTGTTTAAATGCCAAAACGTCTCATTTTGTGGTGAGTTTATTATATTAAAATAAAAATATTTTAAGGTTTCTCATGGCATAGAAAATTATCAAATATGTTATAGTAAAAGTAAGCTCAGTGATTTTATAGCCATAATAAACACATTGTATTTTAGCTTTGTAAACTGTATTAAACATTTGAAAAGGGTAGGTAGCCCTTTTAACTTGATATTAAAGTAAATTTTAACTTATTATTGATAAATGCCAAGCTTTAATGCAGACTCAGAAAAGGAAGATCAGAATTCCTGTTTTTTGTTTATTTGTTTGTTTTAGTAGAAAATGTCAGGAAACTTCACTTCTTACTGATTGTTGTTAAAATCTAATTAAAAGATCCCCCCCTCACTGGATTAGAGGGGAGCGCGTCATCCCTCTGCACACCTGCATCATACCTGTGGGTGGTCTGTGCACACATTTGATGGGTTTGGCAGTCTCACTCACACACTCCATGACAGTCTAATTGTAGTTTACATTCCAAATGACCATTCCCTGGCTAGTGCATAACCACATGTCCATCGGATGCTGGGCTTACAGCATCCCTTCTCCCTTCTTACCACCCCCATTTAATTTGTTATTTTGGTTTTGTCTTTGCTTGATCTTTTTAAGAAAGGGAGAGAGGAAAAGAAGGAGAAAAAAGAGCCATTTTCAATATGTAGGTGATCAAAATTTGCAAGGACGTCCCCCCTCCAGACCTCCAAGGTTTATTTGAATTTACCCCGATGTTTTACAGAGCCAATCAGTTCTTCCCAGAGGGATTAATCTTTCTTTGTTTTTTACCTGTTTGGAGAGCCTGTTCTCCTCTTCAATGTACTTCTGTTCTTTGGGGATTAATGTTCGTAAGCTGGCTTTCACCTATACATCAACATATGTGTCTGTTATGGGTTCATATATTAAAACTGTTTACAAGTTTTGCATGCAGTTCAATTTGCAATATAATTTCTAAAGTTTCAAAGTCCTGGCTGCTGTGCTCATAAAATATAAATGTATACAGTTGCATATGCATGTGCGTCCCTCTCGCAGGCAGGCAGGCAGGCAGGCGGGCGGCAGCCAAGCACACGGCGGCGGCAGCCCCACTGTAGGAGCAAGTGTGGGTGTGCCAGAAGCATATTCTCCAGGATACATCAAGGTTTAGAGAAAATGAGGAATGACAGAAATTCTCTACAAATCAGGAACAAAAGCTTTCATGAAACTGAACTCTTTAGCAGTACAAAAAAGCCAAAGTTAAGACTTACGGCATTAAAAATCACATCTATTTCAAGACAGATGACCCCCTTTGTGGGCCCTGTCAGCTGCTTGTTTTTCAAGACGTAGGCTTTCTGTTCACCATTTTGAATCTGCGGGAAAAGGACATGACAGCCGTCTGTCTTGCGGTCTCCACTGAATACACTCCCCCAGTGACCTTTGACCCCCAGCTGCTGAAACTGACAGAGAACCCAAAACAACTGTGGCAATTCTGACAAGTACCTGTTCATTACCAGGATCAAGTCTGTCAAGAAAAATTAACTATCATGGGATTCAACATGGCCGTGCATTGAGTATGTTAAAATTTTTAGTGTTCTTATTACAGAGCCGGGTTGAGAAATGACAGACATAGAGCTGAGTTTTTTTTTTTCTTTCTTTCTTTCTTTTTTTTTTTTTTACCTTGAGCAAAAGCAACACAGAACAGTGTGCCAGGTGAATAAAACTTACAGATAGCAATGGTATAGCAACTCTGCCCAGAAAGTCGGCGCTCCGGTCACGGTCTTCATCATAAACTGTCACTTCCAAGACTGAATGGATGTCTTTAATGTTGCTGTGTAATAAACATACCCAAGGAAAAAAGACTCCATCAGTATGGAGCAAAGTTAGACTGGTTCTGAAATCTTACATAGTACTATGTATGTATGCTGGTTTTCTGTATTTTTATTTTTATTTTTATTTTTACATGTATTATTTTCAGGCAGACATACACGTATGGGGTAGAGAGGAAGCTGACAATTTCTCATAATATATCTAAAATGACAACAGCAAGGGTCATATCATATGGAACTTTGAAGACTACTATGACTTTCAGTTATATTTTTTAATGACATATCATTTTTCTTTTTGCATATGCAAAGAATAAATTACTGGAAAAATCACTAAGTACTGCTGGTAGTCTTTAGGTTTCTCTGCCTCTTCTCGTTATAACAATAAGTCATACAATCACATAACTCCTACGTAAAACATCACAGGTTTGCTGTGCATAGGAGTCACAATAGATTTTTGAACTCGTGCTCTTTTCACTACGACATGTCTCTTTCTTAAAGTCTTACTAATGCACTTACTATTTCTGTCAGGTTTGTAGCAAACAGAGAAAACAGAGTAGAAAAAATATAGCATTTATAAGTATAGTACTATCCTTGGATTTAGAAAAAATGTTATATTCCAGTTAGTTCCAAAGACAATACATGATAATAAAAGACTGACTGTGTGAGTTTTTCATATTTTTATTTTGAGAAAAATAAGTCTCAATTGTTGACAGCACTTATTTTTTGATCAAATTGTTTACCAAGAAAATATGAATTAAGAGAAAACAAAAAAGAATATATTCATTACTGACACAACATAACTGCACGTGAAAAGAGGCTTTACCAGGGTACAATCAATTAATCGCTTTGATAATAATCAAACCTATTCATTCAATTATGCATTCTAGAGAAAACACTCTCCATGGCCCTCTTAGGAGTGCAAGCCTCCTGACTAGGCTTTCATCTCTTATAAAAATGTGGAATTCCTTAAAAATAAATTGGTCAGATAATTAAAGCTGATTAGTTACTGGCTCTTAAGCAGAGGCATTATAAGGAATTAATGAGGAATTTAGCAGTTTTTTATGTACAAGAAATAAAACCATGTTAGAAAACTGTTAAGTACTTCTGTTTTGAGAGTTTTCCTTTGTGGAGTCCATTCTCTACAGCCCAGTTTTTAAAAGGGGACTTGTAGGCTACTAGAGTGTGGCATGCACAGCTTTTACAGTGCACAGTGGAAAAGATTTACAAACTTTTTAAAACAAAAGGAAAATTAACTCAAAGGTTGTTTTGAGACCTAGGACAATGCTTAATGTCCTTATTGTGGTAAAATGAAACAAGCCAAAATCAGCATCTGCCAAACTCGACTGGACTGTTTGCTGATTTCAGTGACGGAACAAACAGCGCTTTGTCCTTCTGGGTGTCTGTGTGATTGGGAAGAATTTCAATAGAAAGTACAAAAGGAAGAAGCAGGATGCAGATTCAGTGACAGGGAGCAAACCCTTCATCAGGCCAGATAAAAAAGCACAGTGAAAAAAAGTCCAGTGAATACACAGAAAAAGAACATACCCCTTTCCCAAGTTTTAGTCCTGAGAAGGTAGGGGGGGTTGGAAATCCAAAGTTAGCAAAGGCAGAGCAGATGCATTGCACTGTGAACCGGAGTACACAAGTGCACACACACACACACACACACACACACACACACACACACACACAGTCCCAGGGTGAACTATATTTTCACACCAGATCCAAAATAAGCACAAAGTGATTGTTCTACTTACAATGTGAACACTTTGTTCCATTCAGGATTAAGGTTTTTGTAGACAGTGTGTGTTAGCAGCCTATCGTTGTTCAGTTCCACTACACAAAATGGATCACTTTTACCTATGGGAGATTTGGGGGAGAATGTTTTTAACATATATAGCACCTGTAGTGATGGTATCATGATCATATCCTTTGTGATCACAATCTTCCCCTAAACAATTTTATAATAAACAAGTGAAAAAGCTTACAAATTAAAAACAAATTCATCAAAACAGATGTAACTGGATATTAGCAATTGCTACAATTTGTGACAATTTAGAACTTGAGACCAAAGTATATAGCTTGACTTAGGATCTGCTGTAATTTTTAACAAAAATAATACTACAGCTGTGAGGAGAAAGTGAAGTGTACCCACCCTCTGTGTGTTCATTGGTTCTCTTATGACTGTTTGAACTATTCAATCACTTTAATCTTATAGATAGACTTTTCAATTTACCTAATCCACTAGTAACTCATCACAGGGACTTCCAAATGAGTTTATTGTGAGAAAATGGCTATACTGAGGAATAACACCACTACAATCTGACTAAAGTTGAGTTACTTTCCCCTGAGATATCTATGGGATTCACAAACAGATAAAGTAAGTTAGAGCCTATGAGTTTGAACAAGTCTGCTGTTGGGAACTTAAGATCAACAGGTGAAGTCTGCCACTAAAGAGTGGCACCTCTGCTTCTTAATGTTCACTGGAAAGAAAGGACCTGGAAGTTATCTGTCCATAGGGACTCCACTCTGTCATATGCAAATCATCCATTCCATAGTTACATTTTGGGATGTCTCAATTTCTTTGTCATATCATGTCTCATTTTATAAGAACTCACAAAGTCAGGGGCTCTGTGAGAACAGCATGAATGGTATTGGTACAGTGTATAATTTGTTTGATACCTTATACAAATGACAATGGGATCAATATTTAGACAAAGCTGGCCAGAGGTCATATCTTTTAAACTACAATATTGATTTAGACTACATAAGAGGTTAATGTGCATATTATTAACTTTAATGATAAAGAACAGTTGTTTTAAATGCATTGTGAATTGTAGCTACAGTAGTTTACACTTGTGTGAAACTTAAATATCATCTGAGATTTTCAATTACATTTTAATGGGAAGGAATTTAGTAGCTATCAGTAACAGAGGAGCTCTGTATTCCCACACAGGAGTATATTTATTTGTCATTGGATGATACTTAAATGAGCAGTACAAGCTTTAACCCACCTTTAATTTATTAGTTTTATATTGAAAAAGATTTAGTGTGCATGTGTTAATTCAGTAGTCTCACATAACCCAACATAATTGCACAATTTAAAACATTATGGTAGCTTCCTCAATTTTGGGTCTTGAGGAATCTTCTCAGCAAAGACTAGAGAGCTGGTCATTTCTAATGTCTGGTTACAAGTTGACCACATGCTTTGCCCTCCCTGTCCACTTTTAAAGATTCTGATTCCTACCTTCACTCTCAATTCCAACTCCTGCACACCACAAAAGAAAGTGTTGACAATATCTTGCTCATTAAAACACAGTGTAATTGGTTTCACTTGGGACTTTAATAACTTAATTTTCTTTCATAGAATTTTGATACCAGCATACAAAGGCAGGCACAAATAGCTTTTGGAAAATATTTATATGCAAACCTCTAGGCAAGATTTTCTCCAATAATAATGCCACATCTCAGTCACCAGCATGTTACAGACAAGGAAAAGCTTCATAATTTTGAAAAATCTTCATTGCTTTATCACAACAAATATTGTATATGCTAGAAAAATAGCAATGTACAAAACAATTAAAATGATCCCTGTGCTCATAGATTTTAGATGAAGAAGATGACTACATTCCAGTGTCTTTCAAGTGATAAATGTGATGATGGAATTTAATGATGGGAAATACGATGTGGAGTGCTTGTGTGCACAGAATCTTCAAGAGACTGAAGAACACGTCTTGTTGGGGGGGAAATGACATAGAGACAAAGTAATGAAAGAGATAACAGAGTGAGCTGTAGTTTTCCTGGAACAGACCCTGAAAAGGCCAGAGATGTGGCTGTGTCTTGTTTGCTAGCAATATCCAGGAAGCCTGGCTGACTGAGGAAATGGATTGGGAACATGTGTACTCGGTTGTAGGGGGATAAGGAAAGCAGCGGGCCTCTGAAAAAATGGGCCTCTCACCTTGCAGGACAGCACGCTTTGACCTGATCACTATCTGAAGAACAAGGTGGAGAGGGCACTGGGAACACCGGGGAGACCAGCGATAGCCAGACGAGTAATCCAGAGAGGAGAAGGTGACTGGACTCTGTGACGCTTTTGACAGTAGAAGCAGCATAATTTCACCAGTGCCAATACTGAACACTCTAATATGTCTCCCATTACCAGAAGCTGGAAAGCAGTTAACTGAACTTAGCTCAGCCACATTTTAGGTGGGATTGTGGGTAGAAAAAGCAGTCAGCAGCGAGCCTTATTTCTAGTCTCTTTATCTTTAGAATCTGGCAAAGATGAGAGAACCAAGTTTGTTTAAATAACTCCAGGCACTGAGGAGCACTGAGTGGGAGGAATAGTCTTCCCCAAGGAAGAGCACACCAACTGCATGTCCGATACCAAATGATCAGCCCTAAAGACATACAGCTGAGGGAGATTATACAGACTGAGTGGGTTGTATGTAGGAATATACACATGTAATAATAATTAATGAAAAAAGAGGCCGTGAATTTGAAAGAGAGCTGATGGGTATACCAGAGGGTTGGGAGAAAGGAAAGGGAAAAATGATGTAATTATATTATAACCTCACAGAATGAAGTAATTAAAATAGATAAAAACAAAGCTTATTGAATTATTATTCATTTTTTCCTAAAATGGTATCTTTTTGTAGTATAAGAAATTGATGCAATTCCAAGTCTTTGAACACTATTAGTTTTCACTAACTTAAAAAGGACCCCTCTGATGTGGTGATCAAGGGCAATCACAAACTACCATCAGCAGCAACAGCAACACTCCATATCAAATTCTATCAGTTCAAAATAGAGCATATGTTAGAGTTTTACTGTTAAAGAAGTAGCTGTAAGCAGAGTGCTGGCTTGATGCCTCATTGCTTGAAAACACTGGCTTTTCCATTCCTTCCTTTTTCAGGCTTGATTATTTGCCACATAGGCAAGTAGAAACACTTAGAGGTCAACCAAGTCATTAGTCATCTATTAATTATTCACTGCTTTCATCTTTTTATCATTCCATTTTGACTCTGTAACATGTTTTTCTGCTTTCAGAGAGCACCAGAGTGGGTGGCCTCTGGGATGGAGTACTGATGCTCAGTAGGCAGACAATATTCTGCAAAGTGCATGTTTTTCCTCAATACCACATGGCTAGAAGTGTGAGAAATGAAGGTAGTAGCCAATGTTGAAGTGCACTTTTACTTCTTGTAATTTTTTACTAACCAGAAATCTTAATGTATAGATTATATACTCTGTTATATTCTTTTTACTTTTGTTCTGAGCCCAAGGCAGACCTGTGGGATACCAATAGTCTCTTCTTTAACTTCTACTATTTTGGTGACAAAAATACCTATCTCTCTCCTTAGAAATGTAACAAACTGAAGAATTTGGAATTGATGGAAGACAGAAATTGTAGTCGTGCTGTGGGGTAGATGTGGTGTTGATTGCTTTAACTGCAGTGACAGCTAGAAGAGAATCCTGCTTTCCTTGAGAACATGGCAATTTCCAATGTTGACAATTTTCTAAAGAGAAATGGGAATGCCTTCTGAAGCATTCATTACTTATTGAGTGCCTCCTCTGCTCACCCCAGAATTATAAGTATGATTAAGACGTAGTCAAGCTCTCAAGGCATGCACAATTTAGTAGACATGATAGACATGTAAATACATAATTATTATGCAGGACTGCAGTACTGTAATAAAGGGAAGTGAAGGGTGCAAAGGGAGCAGGGAGAAGAAAGCACATGATTTCATAATCCTGAGACAGGAACAGGAAGAGGAAGCCGAGTTTTTCCCAGTGCAGTGGACCCTTGTGGTCTGTGATGATTGGACATCCTTGTCACAAGCTTTCTTAAAAATGAAGAACCATCACAAAAAGTGAACTTTACAACAATTTGTAATCAGGAATATCTCATTTAAATCGATTCACATATATCTTTGATAAGTCTCTGAAATAAAAACCTACAAATGAATAACGTAACTCATAAAGCAGACACTTTAAACCAGTATGCTTGGCTAGTTGTCTATAACCTAGTTAAATACCAAAAGCCATTTCTTTTCCTACAGAGTTTTAATAAGAAAAAGAATCTCCCAAGTGGATTAAAACTAGAGACTCTTTTAACCCTTATCATAAAGCTAAATTGGCAACAGACTTCAAAGCATATATTCCATCACTTCATTTTTCTTTTCATAAATCCATTTTACAATAAAAAAGAGATATCAAGATTGACTCCAGTAGGCATCTTTTCTGGGAATCTTCAACACTACACCATGAATTAACAGAGTGAGTTCAATGGCTAATTTTCACCGTGCCCTTACCCTCCAGGGTCACACCTGGACACACTGCTGAAGAACTGTGGGGACGTTTGCACCGTGCACTCTTCAGCTGCTATCTGCTTTGTGGCAAGTTGTGACTTCAGTTTGTTGAAACTAGTAGTTTGAGTATTAACGTCACTGAATGATACTGAAAGATATTCTTGCTCCCAGAGCATAGCATTAATCCTGATCCATCAGTGGTGGGCTTTGTCCAGGGTCATTTTACTGCTGACAAGAGGCATAGTTTGCTAGATGTTGTGTGTCACTAAAAATGTGAGGGTGGGGAGGACCTAGTGACCACCTCTTTGTTGTCATGTCTTTGAAAAAGCAGAAGGCTTTTAGTAGCATAGAAAGCAATTCATGCCCATGGGGAGGGAGCTTTTATTTCGAGCCTACCTTGCATTTATTAAGCACTTTGGTTTAATTTCCTCAGTTGCCACAGTTTGCAATGGCTATATTTTAATCTTTAAAAAATTATAATCAAGGTTGCCATCTGTCCTTTCTGCAAACTTGAATTTCAATCATGACATATAACAATGTCATAGCTGAGGGAAT